ATCTATTTTAAAAAAAGAAAAATCCTTATTTCTAAGGAAGTTTGTTACGAGGCCTTGCAGCATTATGTGACGCTCAGATGTTAGTGCACATCAAATATATCAGGTCAGTGGGAGCCTCAATTCATTAAGCTGCTGTATTTATTTGTTTTGACTGACATTGTTAATGATCATGTACTTAGGTGACAGCTTGCCAGTAGTGCTTGTGCGCTAGAAGTTCAACAATAGTCACTTTGGGGGGCTGGAGCAATAGCACAGTGGGTAGGGTGTTTGCCTTGCATGTGGCCAACCCGGGTTCGATTCCCAGCAGCCCATGTGGTACCCTGAGTACCTCCAGGAGTAATTTCTGAGTGCAGAGCCGGGACTAACCCCTGTGCATCGCCAGGTGTGACCCAAAAAAGCAAAAAAAAAAAAAAAGTTGCTTTGGTTTTCATTGATCCTGTTTCTTATGAAGAGTGAAAACGTCATGGGTGGGGGAACAAATGAAATGACAGACTTAATTTGTTATTTGCTGTGATTTAAATTAAATCTGTGTTTTTTGCATATGTCTTTTTTAATTTTACAAAGTTGTTCACAATAATTGATTACATTTAATATTTGAACACCTTCCCACCACCAGATTTCAAATATTTTTATCCCAAATCCCAAACTCTGCCCCTAAAGCAGAACTGAAGTAATTTGTTTTGTATTGCTTGTTATGAATAATTCGCCAAAAATGATCCCAAAAAGTTTTATTAGAGGAAAGTGTGTGAAGATTGTTGTATTTCACTTAGAAGCCATTAATCCCTTCCATAAGAGATTAGTAACTTGGTAGAGCCTTGTGTGCTCTACATATATATTTGCCCCTAAGATTGGTTGCCTTCTACTATAAACCCCACCAAATGTGGTGTGCTACTCTTGGTATATCAGTGGTGTAAAATATGAGATGTTGTGCCGCTGCTCCAGATTGAGTTCTGGAGGTTTTCGGCTGCCAAGACTGGCTCCGTTGGGGTGGGAAGGGGAGCTCACCTGCCCCCCTCTGGATTGCCCTGAGTAAAACAGCCTGGTGCAGGGTCTGGAGGCATCTCTATGGCATATTGTACTGTGCTCTCTTCTAAGAGATTTGTTGTTGAGTCTGTGGCTCATGGCCATTTATGAGACTATATGGCGCCAGAGGCAGTTTGCAGGTGTGACTGCCAAGCTGCTGGAAACAGAGGGACATAAGGGGAGGTCATCCATTCCTGACTCCATTGAGCCTGGAGTTTTCAATCAAAAGTCCTGAACACCTGGGTTTTTCTGCAGATTCTCTCATCTGGTGAGGCTTTTCTGAGCGTGTGGAGATCGGCCATGAGCATCACGGTGATTGAGTACTGGAGGCTTTGGCTGCAGGGACTGGGGAACTCACCACCTCACCTCACCTCACCCCCAGATTGCCCCGAATGAAACAACCTGGTGCAGGGTCTGGAGGCATCTCTATGGCATATTGTTCTGCTTCTGCATATGTCTTTCTAAAAAAAAAAAACTTTTATTTTTAGGCCCTGTGATTTACAATATTGATAATAACGTGTCTTTTGGCTACACTTTTATTTTTGTATTTAGAGGTGTGATATTTTACAATTCATGCTTCAGTGGTCGATTCTGACGGGGGTCCTCCCAGATCAGAGAATGAACTTGTTAACTTTCCATCGGTCACGGTCCTTTCGTTGTTCATCGATTTGCTCGAGCGGGCCCAGTAACGTCTCCATTGGAGACTTTGTTGTTACTGTGTTTGGCATATCGAATACGTCACGGGGAGCTTGCCAGGCTCTGCCGTGTGGGCGAGATACTCTTGGTAGCTTGCCAGGCTCTCCAAGAGGGGCTGAGGAATCGAACTTGGGTCGGCCATGTTGGCTGCGTGCAAGGCAAACGCCCTACCGCTGTGCTATCGCTCCAGCCCATAATTTTCCATAGCACTTGGAAATAGGTGTCTGTTGATGCATAGGAGCCTATCTGCCCCAACTGTGATTATGGGGCATAGGACCTCAGTGTTTTCATGAACACCTACCTTTGTGCCACTTACCATTTATCCCTGAGAAGAGAAAGCTCTGACAGAGTAGAAATATCTGATACCAATTTCCAGGCAACCAGAGACTCTAGGCTGTCGTTGAGGAGAGTTTTGGCTCCCCGCTGTGCTGATCAGCCTCACTTTGCAGTGGGGCAATTCTGAGGCTCTTGGGCAGCCTTCTAAGTCAGAATCTCTGTATTCTAGAGTCTTTGATTTCTCAATCCTTTCCACTGTTCTTCAGCACTGTTCTTCAGCATTGTGGTGTCAGATAGTGCAAGCTAGCTAGTGAGTTTCTCGTTAAAATGGTGGATTGATGTTCAGTTCTGTCAGCTTTTACATTTGGACTCCTGTTCATATGTCTTTTGGCTTTTCTAGACTGTTTTCTGAAGCCACTTCTTTTCATTTATTTTTTTCTTTGGGAGATTTGTAAGTGAGAAATTGTCCATAACTTCATCTAGGTCACTTTTTTAAGATGGTTGTATAATGATGATGAATGTGAAATAAAATGTTTTTCAAGGGCAGTTGCTTGCTGAAAAGTAATGCTTGTTAAATGTTGGGATCTGTAACTGAGTATGTTCTTTCTTCATGTAATCTTTAAAATAATGCTTTTTTTTGTGGGTACTAATCACAGGACAGACAGATGGGCCTGGTGACTTATTAACATTCTTTCCACTATGGGAATTTTGTTGTTATAAAGGTTTCACATTTAATATCAGATGTCAGAAATAGGTTTCACTTTTTGTTAGTTTTTATTTCAGCATAAAATCCAGGTGTTTTTGGTTTTGATTTTATTTGCGGGGGAGGGAGGGGATTCCAAGCAGTGCTTGGGAGGCTTTGCTCCCTCCTGGTGATACTCCCAACTTGGCTAGCAGTTCAGTTCAGGGACTGGGATATGATAATGCTTAACCCCTGGACTGTCTCTCTGGCCCCCAAACCTATCTTTGGGTTTTTGAATTTTGGGGGGTGGGGGTGGGCACACCCAGTGGTGCTTATAAGAGTGACCCATGGAGGTTCTTGGGAACCATATGCTGTGCCAGAGCTTGAACAGGCCATAAGTAATGCTAGTGCGCAGGTCAGAAATATTTCAGTTGGTTTGATCCCTAGCATGACAAGGTCCCCAAGAGCATCACTGGGTGCATCTGGAGGGCCCTGAGCAGCACCTGGTGTGGCCCTGGAGGCCGGGTCATTCCTGTATCACAGAACCAGCACACCTTGGCCACCAAACCTCACCCTCACTCCGAACTTAAGTGGGGTGGAGCCCTGCACACTCGCCCCACACTCTGAAAATGATTGCGCCCAGAGTTTTAAAATTTGGAACCATCTGAAATGGTTATTATTGTCTAAGGTGATCAGCAATTTAATATGATCTAATAAATCCACTTATTTGGATTTACTGGGTCATATAAAAAAGTGCCTCTTTCACCAAACAGTTGATTTGAAGCACTAGGAGCAGTTTCTTTGGAAACTCTGTTTCAGAATCTTAGGTCACAGAAAAAGGATATTGGGTATAATACCGATTTCAATACTTCTCTTCTTCATTCAGATTTGGTCCTTATAGTTGGTTGTACCTTTCAAGTAATAGTTATTATGCTTGATGTTCATTCTAAATGTTTTTCTTTTTTCTTTTCTTCCTGCCTTTAAATTTCTCAAGTACTAGGTAGGAAGTGTTCACATTCTTATGTTTATTTAAAGCACTAAGTTAGTGGTATCTTTGTTATATAACCAGCCCAGAATTTTATTCTTTTCGATCACGATCACGATCATCCTGTTGTTCATCGATTGCCTCGAGCAGTCCCCAGTAACATCTCCTTCGTTCTAGCCCTGAGATTCTAAAAAGTGCCACATTCAAGGTTCTTTCAGGGTTAGGAGAATGAGACCCATCATTGTTACTGGTATTTGGCATATTGGATACACCACGGGGAGTTTGCCAGACTCTGCTGTGTGGGCAGGTTACATTTGGTAGCCTGCCAAGTTGTCCAAAGCAAGAATGAGATAATAAGATGTCGCTTCCGGGAGCTGGGTTTTATAGTCTCTGAGTCTTGGCTGTTGATGATGGGATTACACAGCACAAGAGGGGGAGGGAGGAGGGGGGGGGCAGTTGGTGGGTGTGACCCCTGCCTACTGGAAGATGGAGGATCTGGGTGGAGGATGCTCAGCCCCGATCCGAGCAGGCTTGGAGATCTCAGCCCCAGGACCCGCATGCCTATGTTCCTCTGCCGTTACCTTCACGCGTGTGGAGAATGGTCTCAGCATGGTGGTGGCTGGTTCTGGAGGTCTTCGGCGACCTGGGCTCTGCTTGGGGCAGGGAAGAAAACTCAACCCGCTCCCCTCCATGGGTTATACCCGTTCCCGCATCCCCTCCATTGAGTTATTCTTTTCAGTTTTATATTAATGACTGAACAAATATCTGTTTCTGATAAATGTAGTCAGAATTAAAATTTCTGATTTGATTCTGTTCCGTTTCGATTGTGTTGTTCTGTTTTGATTGTGTTGTTTTTAAATATAGACATAAACAAACACACTGTCCTCCTGTTGTTCATTGATTTGCTCAAGCGGGCCCAGTAATGTCTCCATTTTTAGCTACTTGTTGTTACTGTGTTTGGCATATTGAATATATTGCAGGCGGGATACTCTAGGTAGCTTGCCGGGCTCTCCGAGAGGGGCGGAGGAATTGAACCCCGCTCGACCGGGCTGGCTGCACTCAAGGCAAAGGGCCTACCGGCTCTAAATGCATATGTGTGTGTATGCATATATAAGATATATATTACATATATATATATATATATATATATATATGCAGGATGGCTCATGACCCAAGCGCTTGCACTTTGATGCGGAAGACCTGGGACTGGGTTCTTTCTTAGACCTCACATGTCCTCTGAGCACAGACTCAGGAGTAGTCTCTGCAAGTGTGCTTCTGCCCCCCCAAAAAAACACAGAAAAAAATATATATGCTAATAGTGATTTTTTTTTCTTTTAGAGAAACTGATTGCATATCAACGAGAATTTCTTGCTTTGAAAGAACGTCTTCGAATAGCTGAGCACAGAATCTCTCAGCGTTCTTCCGAGCTGAGCGCCATTGTGCAGTATTTTAAGCGTGTGGGAGCAGAGACAAATGGAAGCAATGATACACTGAATAGATTTTCAGGTACACGTGAGGTTTTGTGCTTATAAAAGATGGTTTGTGTAGAGGGTTTTGTGAAATATTTCCAAGTCATCTCAGGTAGCTTATCACCCGGCTTGTGTTACCCTTTGCAGAGATCACTACCCAGAACTTTCTGCCATGAGAACCTGGATTTGTGGGTGGGGGAGAAAAAAACAGGCTGTGGAGTAACGGGTGGAGGAATTGGTGTGGGGATCTGCAATTATAAAATTATAACTTTAATATCCTTGTGAGCTAAAGTGCTGCAGTAAGAAAAAACACTTTTTTGTTGTAAACATATTTAAAGGTTATATCTTTATTGATTTTGTTATAGTATTATATTGAATTATAAAACAATTTTTACTAATGGCTCACTCTGAATTTAAAAGAGTAATATCAAGTTAGCTTACAGTTGTGTGTCTTTCACTGAAGGTCAGAAATGTGGCTTGCTAGATGAGCATGTTAAAACCCTGGTTCCATTCCCAGCATCACAAAGATAATACATATGTATGTACATGCCAGAAACATACACATATAGATGCGTACATACATACCATTGGTAACCATGAAGAAATATTACTCTAAAATATATATTCAAGATGCAATTAAAATTCAACTTTTTATCCATATGTGTTTGTTTATGCTACCACTTGTCTGGACCTCAGATGGAAAACTTCTGAGTGGTTTGAAGGAATTGGTGCTCTTTAATATGGTCTGTAGCACTGTACCACTGTCCTCCCATTGTTCATCAGTTTGCTCGAGTGGGGGGAAACATACATAATTTCATGAAAGGTCCTCTGGGAGTATCTGACTTGTTCCCTTTCTTAGAACTTCTGGTTAACTTCAAAGTTAAATGAGTGCCAATCATTTTCTCTTTATTTCTGTGCTGTTCTTATTCTAATAATTTATACATGAGGATAATCAGTTACATAATCTTGCAAGATAGACACACTTCTACCACCGCATCATTGCTTTCATCTTGAGATTCATGTAATGTATCGTTTATAAAGTTTCATGTCCTGTTTTCCTTCTTGATTATAATACTTGGGTTATAGCATAGTGACATTTAAAATGTCGCTATGGGATGGATAGTAATAAATTACCCTCAAGTCTGTTGCCAACTGATTTCTGGTAACATTTTTTTCTTCCAACCTTTTTCTTTCTATATTTTTCTTCAAAATTGTGATTGTGTGTTATAGACTGCTTGTGACTGCTGAAATTAAATTAGTAGCCTTTTATCATGTAATTGACTATTCTTTTATGTAATTGACTCTTCTTAAAAAAACACAAATTATTGGCTGAAAAAAATGGGGGCTGACAATATACTTATACTATTTTGGGGGCCAGAAAGATAGTAAAGTAGGTAAGGCACTTGTATGTGGCCAACCTGGGTTCTGTCCCTGGCACCACGTATGGTTCCCTGAGTGCCACCAGAAGTGAACCCTGAACACAGCCAGGAAGAAGACCTGAGCATGACTGGTGTGGCACACCCCCTCCTCCCCACAAAAACAAACAAACAAAAAAACATACTAAATGCTTTATGACTAGACGAGTAGAACTTTTTTTGGAGATTTTACCTTCCATTTTATAATTCTGTGAAAAGTTTTGTATATAACTCATTTACATTTCTGATAGCCCTCAAGTTATTTTCATTAGATTATAACTTTATTTCAGACAGGATTTTCAATTTGAAAAATGGTGCCCCTTCCCATCTTTCATCTGGTATTGTTTGTGATGGCTTGCCTGTGGTGCTCACCTATATGGTGGTGACCCTTGCCAAAATCTCTCACTCAAGTGCAGCTGCTCACACATTCTTCGTTTCCACAAATATCACACTTTAGTCTGGAACCAGAAAATCATATATGACAGTGTTGTGAGGATTTTCCACTCAGCACATGGAGCGGAACAGGGGTATTAAACTCTTGACTTCATATGCCTGAAAACCAGATGTTTTGATATAGCCCACTGATATAGCCCCCAGGCCCAGAATTTATGTTTGAATATAATCCCCAATCATATGGCTTCCAAACATGTGACACAATTTCTGGGTTATAAAATGGGTAATCACTAAATATTTTTTAAATTCATACAAATTATAGTCCTAGAGGAAAATATTGAATAATAGGGTTTCTGGTGCTGTTCTGAAAAGATAAAACATCTGTCACATGAACAGCAATATTTAATATTACTTAACATGCTAGTCTGGTACTGCTTTCCCCCATGATCTAATGATATTCCCATTTGGTTTGTTTTAGCTTACTTTTGAGGTCTGCGATTGTTGCTTTCATTGATTTTTTGGGGAAAAAAATTAACATCCCCAGAAAACTAACATTTTACTTTAAGATAGCAAAAGAAAACAAGGCAGAAATTATTATCTAGAAGGGACCAAAATGGCTGCAGAGGAATAAGCCTGTAAATTCTCCTGCAATAACGACATAAACAACACATCAAAAAGAGCTGGACATTGCATCCCGCCTGGGGCTTTGCTGAGAAAATTCACTGTAGATCACAGTCTTCCCCCCAGGGAGACCCAGGGCTGCAAAGCACAGAGCTGCAGGCAAGGCCCAAGCTAAGGAGCACTTCCCCAGGAGGGGCCAGGGATGGCAGAAGGAAAGACTAAAAAGAGAAAAGGAATAGGCCAGCACTAGCCGAGGGTGGGAGAATGCTGGACACAAAGGTTTTTAAACAACTTCAGCTTTATACCAGCACTTGCTGAGTCAGAAGTAGACAGGATCTGGGGCTGGAGAGACTGTGCCACAGTGGTTAAGGAGCTTGCCCTGCATGGGCTAACCTGGATTTGCTCTCTGGCACCTTATATGGTCCTCTGAATGCACTAGGAGTGATCCCTAAGTGCAGAAGCTTCTCTCTCCCCCCAATAGAATAGATTCTGATCTTGCTGAACCCCAGCAGTGGAAATTCCCCCTGCCAGAGGATTGCTCCTCCTCAGCCCTGCCCCAGCAAACTTGCAGCCCTGGCTCCACCCAGCAAGTCTGTGCTGGATTGCAGAGTGGCAAGTGTTCCCCATCACTCAACCTTGTGTTTGAATTCACTCGGGTCAAGAAGAGTCTTAGAACTTGAACACCCAACGAAGGATATGGCCACATGTGCCTGGGACTGAGGTGAACCCTCTCCAGTGGGACTGTCTCTCGACCAATCTGCAGTGCTGCTGCCTCAGCTCTTCCCAGGGCAAATGCAGCCTTGACTCTGTCCCAGTGATCTTCAGCCATAGTGTGAGTGGACAGGCCAGCAGCCACAGCCGCTCAGAACTAAAGGAAGTTTCCCTAATGTGCCTGTGCTGGACTTATGTCCACCCTAAAGCCTCTGAGAGCACAGCTGGAAGATGCCACACCAGAGGCAGATGCAGGAAAAAGCACCCTTGGGGGTGAGACCTGCCCCTCAGACAATGATCAGGAGCTGCCACCTCCACACTGGTACTGTCACCAGAATCCTCCCCGGAGCTATGAAGATTAGCGTGATGATGACTAGCTGTTACTGGGTACATGTTGCCACCATTCCTAGGCATTGCCCAGGTTGCCATATGAGCTGTTGGACACCAACAGTTGAATACTGGGTAGAAACCAGATCAGATCTGCCTTGGCACTCCAGCAGCCACAGGGCACTGGTCACAGCAGAATCCCCTCTTGCCATCCTGGTGCAGTACGAGATACTTAAACAGTTGCTGCTTAGGTCACCTCGAACTTGGAGATCTGCCCCTAGAACCAAAGTGTCAGGGATAAGAGGGTGGGGGGAGGAATTTGGCTGGATCCCTGGATGGGGGGGGGGGGTGTCGGAGCAAAGCTTACGAAAGTTCTCAATTACATCAGAACTTTCTGCACTGCCTGATCTGGTTTCTTCCACTTAAGAACAGTAATCTTCTTGATGTATACTGAGCTGAGTTGATCACTGGAAAATAGACTCAATAATCACAAAGGAAGATTGATAGAAAAATAAAAGCACAAACAAAAAAGAAAGATGCTAATAATGGGATTCAGTTTCAGAATGGAGGATGGCCAAAAATTGAATCATAAACTTGAAGACAAGCCACACAAAATCATCAATCACTGTCACTGTCACTGTCACCCCATTGTTCATCGATTTGCTCAGGTGGGCCCAGTAACATTGTGAGACTTGTTACTGTGTTTGGCATATCGAAAACGTCATGGGTAGCTTGCCAGGCTTTGTCGTGCGGGTGAGATATACTCTTGGTAGCTTGCCCGGCTCTCCGAGAGGGGCAGAGGAATCAAACTTGGGTCGGCCATGTTGGCTACGTGCAAGGCAAACACTCTACCCGCTGTGCTATCGCTCCAACCCAAAATCATCAATAAAGAAGAGATTATTAAAGGGAGATTTTCTTTTACAGTGAAGAGAATTTCAAAAAGACATTTGACAATCTCAGAAATCCAATTTCAGAAAGACAATGCAGAGGAGTGACCTCTACATTATAGAAATTCCACAAGGACAGCAGAGACAGGGACGGATGTCTGGTGGAAGAAATAGATGAGAATTTCCCAGTCTGAGGAAGACTTGTGCTGACCTAGGAGGCACAGAGGTGCCATACAAAATAAATGCGGTCAGAACAGTACCAAGACACTTTGTAATCAAAATGACAAGACTCAAAAAGTGAGATGTACATCTTTAAGTGACAAGAACCAAAGTCTCACTATGAGACTCACATCATATTTCTTAAATGAAACTCTACCAGAAAGATGATAATAATAATAGTAATAGTAATAATAATAATAATAATAATAAAAAGTTGGCTCGATGAGAATGGAATGATATCCAAAATACTGAAAGAAAAGAACCTGCAACCAACACTTATCTACCCTATAAGGTTATCACTCAGGCTCTAGATAAAAACATTCTCAGAAAACAACAGCCTGTAAACCAGCTCTGCAAGGAATGATTTACTCAACAGCTTCCTTTAAAAACAAAATGCCAAATAGCGAAAACAACCAAATTCCTCATAGGAAAACAGCCACAAATTCCTTCATTATCAGTATTTT